GTCATGTATCTTAGAAAAAAGTGGGTAAGTGGATTTACAGTGTGCAAGGTTAATAACATTAACTAAAGAACAACCTTAGGGAAGAAAGCAGGAACTGAAGGAGTAAGGAAGCTAGTGCTCCCTATCAAAATGTACACATAACGGGCCTCCCTCTCTTTTGTCTGGGCTGCCGATATGCCATCCGGACTGAGGAAGACACAGAGACTTCGGGGACACGTGAGCTGTGGCCACAGCTACATTGGCAAGCATTCAGGAGGCCGGGGTCATGCTGGTGGCATGTGTCACCACAGGAACAACTGAGACACATATCACCCACGTTACTCCAGAGCAGTTGGTATGAGACATTACCACTTAAAGAGGAACCAGAGCTTCTGCCCAACTGTCAACCTTGATAAGCTGTGGGCCTTTATCAGTGAGCAGACACAGGGAAATGCCACCAAAAACAAGAATGCAGCTGCTCCTATCACTGATGTGGTGCGATCAGGCTACTGCAGAGTTTTAGGAAAACCATTTCTTCCAGACTGTCATCATGAAGGCCAAATTCTTCAATAGAAGAGCTGAGGAGAAGATTAAGGGTGTGTGTCCTAGTAGCTTGAAGCCACATGGAGGGAGGGTCATTAAATGCTAACAAGTGCTTTTCCAAAACAAACAAAAAAACAAAAAAACCCAAAATGCACACATAACACAGAGTTACAAGTGATTGCTTTATAATAATAAAGTATATAAACAAAAACTTAAAAAATGAAAATAAAGTATAAAAACTTGTTTTCATCAGTCCATCTAAGCCAAAGTTTTAAGTAAATAATAAAGCATACATTAAAATTTAAGAACCAGTACTCAGTATGTCAGATATCACTTAAATAGTTACAAAGAATTTCACTTTTTTAATAAATATTGAGGTAAGTACCTTCTCAGGGAAATGTATGAGGATATAAACATTAATCTGATACTGTCTCTAATCTCAAGTGGCTTAAAGTCTAGTGAGGGAAATTAGTCAGGATATATCTAGATAAAAGGAATAAACACCATTAGTAAGGTATAGCTCAAAAATTATGGGAATTGGGGGGCCTGGGTGGCTCAGTCGTTAAGTGTCTGCCTTTGGCTCAGGTCATGATCCCAGGGTCCTGGGATCGAGCCCCGCATCGGGCTCCTGGCTCAGTGGGAAGCCTGCTTCTCCCTCTCCCACTCCCCCTGCTTGTGTTCCCTCTCTCTCTGTGTCTCTCTCTGTCAAATAAATAAATAAAATCTTTAAAAAATAATTAAAAAAAAATTATGGGAGTCGGGAGGAAAAGATTACTTCCAGGAAGGGATTCTGGGAAGTCTTCCTAGGAAAGATGTCCAATTTGAGCCTGTAAGTACTAATGGGAAATCCACGCAGATGGGGGAACACCCAAGGGTAAGCAGAGGTGCAGCGGGAGGTCAGGAAAGATCATGGATATGAAAGGTATGTCATGAGCGTTTATGAAACCATTAAAGACAAGTTCCTGGGTGGGGTTGGGAGGATTACATGGAGGGAGTGGGGAAACAAGGAAAACCCAGAGGCAAGAAGCCTAAAGAGGATTTCAGGGAAGGGAACAAATGATAAGACCAAGGGGTCGTACAGAGTGAGAATCTGGTCTCTCGGAGGCTAGCGGGACCTCCGAGGGCAGTGGGTTTAATGGAGAGTGAGCAGTCGGGAACGGAGGTCCTGAGCCAGTTCTTAAGGAGTCTGATCAGGGGAAGGAGAGAAGCTTCAGGGAACAGGAGAAGCTAGAAAAGGTCCTTTTCTTTTGCCATTGCTTTTGGTGCTTTTTCTTTTTCCTTTAAAAACAGAAGTCAACATGGTTATTGGCTGTGAGAAAAAAAAAAAGTAGATGAGAAAATGTTAAAGTAAGAGACAGAAAAGGGATAGATGATGAGGCACAAAGGAGGGGTTGGCGTGAGGATTATAAATGGCAAGTTTAGCTTTGGAGAGGAAGAGGGAGAGTTGTTTCTGGGATAAAAGAAGGCGAAGTCACAGTGTGTTTAGTACAACAGTGCTCACAAACAGCCTGATTTCTTCAGTGAGGTATGAAGCAACAGCTTCAGTGCAGACGTGGGGTTTAGAGTTCACTTACTGGGGAAAAGATCAGAATAGGCCCTGTGGAAACTGGTATACAATAGCAGTTAGAAATTTTTCTCCAATTCCAAGAGATTCATAAGAATAGAGGAAGGTTAACCTTTCCCCTAAACTTCCTACTGGAGTGAAATGGAAAAAAGATATGCTAAGAGAAGTGGCTAAGTTAAAGAAATATTGATGTTAAAACTTTTAAGAAACAAAAATAAAATAGGAAAAGGGAAAGCATTCAAATGCCTTTCAGACATTTTAGATTTTTTTTTTTTAATCATAGGCAGGTACTTATTCAAAAATATGGACACTTTTAATTTTAAAAAGACCTGTTTTTTTAAAGCACTTTAAGCTTTAGGTTCCATGGGAGCAGAGACCCTACCTGGTTTTATTTACCAATACAGTGCTTGGTTTACAGTAGGTCCTCCATAAATATTGTTACATGTTGATTGTTAAAAGCTACACGAACAGAAAATAAAATCTTAAAAAGAGAATTTGAGAGACTTCTTCGAAGTTAAAAGGCCAATTACATCTCATTACAAGACACTCCAAAGCAACCTTCGACTTCTAGTACATTTCACCACTGACAGTCATTAGCAGACAATCTCATGATACAAAAACAAGCTTTAATCCACAGTTCACATACTTATATAATGATCACTATGAACAACTTTACAAACTCATTCTTAATTTTTACAGTCATCAGTCCTGTGGGCACCTGAGTGGCTCAGTTGGTTAAGCATCTGCCTTTGGCTCAGGTCATGATCTCAGGGTCCTGGGATTGAGCCCCGCATCAGGCTCCCCGCTCAGTGGGAAGCCTGCTTCTTCCTCTCCTACTCCCCCTGCTTGTGTTCCCTCTCTCGCTGTGTCTCTATCAAATAAATAAAAAATCTTAAAAAAAAAAAAAAGTTTAACAACAACAACAACAACAAAGTAAGCATGCAAGGTGACAGGTCTATAGTGGGTTGAATGAAGGCCCCCAAAAAATATGCCCACACCTGAATCCCTAGAACCTTTGATTATGACATTATTTGGAAAAAAAGTCTCTGCAGATGTAATGAAAGTAAGGATCTTCAGATAAGATCATTCTGGATTATATGGGCAGGTCCGAAATCCAATGACAAGTGTCCTTGTGAGAGAGAGAAGAAAAGACACAGACACACAGGGGAGAAGGCTGACAAGGCAGAGATCAGAGTCACAGAACCACAAACCAAATGAGCACCTGGAGCCATGAGAAGCTTGCAGAGGCAAGGAACAGAGTCTGCCTTAAAGCCTTTTGAGAGAGCCTGGCGCGGTTGCTACCTCGATTTCAGACTTCTAGCCTCCAGAACTTGAGAGAATAAATTTCTGTTATTTTTAGCCCCCCAGTTTGTGGTAATTTGTTACAGTAGCCCTAGGAAACTAATACAAGGTTAGTACAACTATACAAATTATAATACCAGATTAAATGGGCCGGTTTCCCCTATAAAACAAAAGATCACAGAGTGCCTGGCTAGCTCAGTTGGTTAACATTAACCTTCGGCTAAGGTTATGATTCTGGAGTCCGAGGATTGAGTCCCACATCGGGCTCCCTCTTCAGCAGGGAGTCTGCTTCTCCCTCCGACCCTCCCCCCTCTCATGTGCTCCCTCTCTCTCAAATAAATAAATAAAATCTTTAAAAAAAAAGATCACAGTAAGAATTTCATACCAGGTAATAGAAGGACTCTGTGTGCAAAAGTGAGCAAAGCTGAAGTTTCTATTTAGATAAATAAAGCACAGATGGGCAAAGTCACTACATAGCAATAAGATACAAAATAAATAATAACTATATCGATAGAAAATAAAGATAAGATACAATAATTGCAAGTGAAGGCTAATTCATTAGACTATTACCAAAAACACTACAAACTTAAGAAATCCAGTAACAAAACATAAACAAAGGAGAAGCATTAGTATTATGAAATATTTCAAACATGCCAAAAAAAGATTACAGAATAACAAAATAAATATCCTTTAACCTAACACCCAGTCTTAACAAATCTTGACATTTGGCCAAATTCACTTTAGCTTTTTTTTTTTTAAAAGATTTTATTTATTTATTTGTCAGAGAGACAGAGAGAGCACAAGCAGGGGGAGCGGCAGACAGAGGGAGAAGCAGGCTCCCCACTGAGCAAGGAGCCCAATGTGGGACTTGATCTGAGGACCCTGGGATCATGACCTGAGCGAGCTGAAGGCAGCCGCTCAACCGACTGAGCCACCCAGGTGTCCCCACTTCAGTTTTTCTTTTTTTAAAGAAATAAAATATTTCAGGTATAGGTGAAGCCTTCTGCCTGACCCCTTCCTCCTGCCTCCCACCTCGAAGGTAACCACTGTTCTAAAGCTGAGTGTATTATTCCCATGTACATGTTTAAGACCTAAGTAACAGATTGTTTCATGTATTTAACATTTACAAACAAAGCAAGTGACTATGCATTTATTCTACTGTTTTTACTCAACTTATTTCCTGAGACTTAACTTATGTTGATGCATGCAATACTAGTTCATTCATTTGAACAGCTAAAAATCATATTACTCATCTCCCAGTAATGGTCACTTAGGTTGTTTGTTAACTTTTGCTATGTTGATGCTACAACAATCTTCCTCGCACCTGTCTCCTCATCTAGACACCAAAGTGCCTCAGAACATAGTCCTAAAAACGCTATTACTCAGTGCCCTTTCTTTTCAAAAACTCTTTTCCTTTGGTGAACAGCCTTTATGACAGTATAAAACTATGCCAATAATTAAGAGAATAATCTGAATGGAGATAACCTTAAGGCACTTTCTGTGGGGAAAAACCTAAATTCTGTATTAAGTTGCGTTTTAAATCATCTCAGAATACCTAGTTAGCAATGGCATTTGGAGCAAAAAGGAGTACATTTCATTAATGAGAAATTACCTGTGCAATATTTTGAGAAGACATAATTGCCTGGTTATAGAATATACGGCCAAAGTGATCTCGATCTGGAAATATGTCTGCTTGTCGAGGTAAGTTTGCCCCTCCTGAATCAACTGAAGACAAGGGAAATAACAGAAGTAAATACATTTGAATGAACAAAATACCCTGCACACAGAGAGACTTGAATCAATGACAACAACAGTTCTTAATCACATTCACAAAAAACTTGCCCTACCGTTCTCAACTATTCTACAGCATCTTTCTCCAGTCCCCCAACACAGCCAAAAAAATTCACTGTTTTCCTCAAATCCATTAGGATCTCCTCCCTGTGCAAAATTCCACTTGAAACGTTTAGCACATTCTCTCCTTTGAGGACAAGCTAAAGCCCCAGAAACACTGTAAATGCTTAACCAGTTCAGCTAAAAAAAAAAAAAAGTGTCTTTCCCTCTTTTAAACCAATACAAAACCATCTAGAGAATTCATGTGACAATTCATCACAGACTGCTTGGGGGACTGTTTTTACTGCAGAGCGGAGTGGGGGCTAAGAATGTTCACTGAATTTGGAACAGAGTTTGATGACTTCAGATTGTGTGATTCCTGGTGTGTTTCTTAGCCATTCTATGTCTCGCTCTCCGCACCTGTGAAATGAAGGGGACAACAGTAGCTCTCCTAAGGAGCTGTTCCTGGGATGACATGAAATAAGGTATACAAGGTAGGTAAGGTATTAGTTCAGCACAGTGTGAGTGCATATAGCAGTGTTACATTAGGTTCCTTCATTGTTCTTTAATACATGACATCCTATCTCCAATTCATTCAAGCTTGCCCAAGACAGGGACAACCTAATACTCTTCACTCCAACCCCTATGGTGTTTAGCATAGCACCTGGAAGCATTTAGGCCTCATTTGCTGTTTTCTACATATGCAAAAAAAGTTCATACTGTGAGTCAAACAGGTAAATTCACTTTTGCAGGAAAAAAAAAATCTCTGCATTAGTACCTGTTCAAATACCCACATAAATAAACAATATACATATGCTGGCACTTCACCAAACTAAACCAAAATCCAGGCAGTGCCAATTTTAAACTGCCTTGCTTTTATGTTTCTTTTGAAATATCATTAGATTTAAACGTATTTTAATTTCAAATATAAATTTACTTTAAGAATTCAATTTCTTAAAATTGCATTTGCTGAAATTATTCACAAGCATTTAACAAAGTACCTAGCACTCAAGAGATCCATAAATATCAGCTATTATTTTTTCATAGTTTGAACAATGATCATTAAGGTTAAGACAAAAAGAAAATACACAGAAGGAAAAAAATTCACACACAGGTAGAGGAAAAAAACTGGCATACATGAAAATACTGTCAGAGGTTATTCCTCAGTGATGTTATTATAGGTAGTTCTTATTTACTTTTTCTTCCAGAGTTTTTAGCAAAGAACACGCATTTATTTTGTAATTATAGGAAAAACCAACAGTTTTTAAAAATACCCATTGATAATGTCATATATAGCCTTCTAAACAGTATTGTATTTTACCAGCTAAAAATAGTTCATTTTATGACTCTTGTGACTTGCCCAAGTAGATGCAGGGGAGTCTGTTTTGCATTGCAATTTCTTGCGCCCGTAAGTGTTTCTTCACAGTCACTGGGTAGTAGGAACCTCCTTTGATGGTGGCATCATTGGCAACAATAATGCATTCCACTCTGAAAGGGAGAAATTTCATTACAAAGAGAATTTGAGAGGGCGCCTGGGTGGCTCAGATGGTTAAGCATCTGCCTTCGGCTCAGGTCATGATCCCAGGGTCCTGGGATAGAGTCCCGCATCGGGCTCCCTGCTCCTTGGGAGCCTGCTTCTCCCTCTGCCTCTCTCTCTCTCTCTCTCTGTCTCTCATGAATAAATAAATAAATAAAAAAAATAAAATCTTAAAAAGAGAATTTGAGAGACTTCTTCGAAGTTAAAAGGCCAATTACATCTCATTACAAGACACTCCAAAGCAACCTTCGACTTCTAGTACATTTCACCACTGACAGTCATTAGCAGACAATCTCATGATACAAAAACAAGCTTTAATCCACAGTTCACATACTTATATAATGATCACTATGAACAACTTTACAAACTCATTCTTAATTTTTACAGTCATCAGTCCTGTGGGCACCTGAGTGGCTCAGTTGGTTAAGCATCTGCCTTTGGCTCAGGTCATGATCTCAGGGTCCTGGGATTGAGCCCTGCTGCTTCACCGCCACCCCCCCGTCCCCGCCCTTTGCCCCTCCCCCTGCTTGTGCATGCGCTCTCTCTCTCTCTCTCCCCCCTTCCCTCTCTCAAATAAATAATCTTTAAAAAACAGTCATCAGTCCTGTATTAGCAGTGAAAAACTAACAACCTCAGCCACATTTCATAAAGCGTCTTCCAATGAAATGATCCTAGCAAGATAATAATAATACAAAAAAAAAAAAATCCAACTCTCAAGGGTGAGACAATCCCTCCTAATAAACCACCAAGTTTCCTTGTAGGAAGGTAATTTGCAAAAAGGAAAACTGATCCACCAAGAGAATTTATTTTTTACATTTCCAAAAGTTCTTCAATGTTACTACCACATGCTTTTTTATAAAACTAAAAGTTTAAAATACAGTATCTATCTTTCTTAAAGTAACAACAGATACAAACTATAAAATAGTATATTGAAAACATATACTGTAATGCGTCATCAATGGTACCCTTTCTCATCAAAACCAGTTGGTTGGATGCCATGACCACAAGTAACACACAAAGAGCAGGGCAGTGAAGGCAGAGTACCTGTAAGGGAAACTGCCTGATATTGCCAGGGTGCCTAAAGGTCAGGGGCTGACTTGAAACTTGAGTGAACAAGAATGTGCTCTTTACCAAACTTTATCTCCTTTATATTTATGATATCATTATTATTTTTTAAGATTTTATTTTTAAGTATTCTCTACACCCAATGTGGGGCTCAAACTTACAACCCCAAGATCAAGACTCATACTGCTCCACCAACTGAGCCAGCCAGGTACCCCTATTTATGATATTTTTTAAAATCTCAGTTTAGGGGGCGCCTGGGTGGTTAAGTCATTAAGCGTCTGCCTTCGGCTCGGGTCATGATCTCAGGGTCCTGGGATCGAGCCCATCGGGCTCTCTGCTTGGCAGGAAGCTTGCTTCTCCCTCTCCCACTCCCCCTGCTTGTGTTCCCTCTCTCGCTGTGTCTCTCCCTGTCAAATAAATAAAATCTTTTTTTTTTTAAAGATTTTATTTATTTATTTGAGAGAGAGAGAATGAGAGATAGAGAGCACGAGTCAGAGGGAGAAGCAGACTCCCTGCTCAGCAGGGAGCCCGATGTGGGACTCGATCCCGGGACTCCAGGATCATGACCTGAGCCGAAGGCAGTCGCTTAACCAACTGAGCCACCCAGGCACCCTCAAGTAAATAAAATCTTTAAAAAAATAAAATAAAAATAAAATCTCAGTTTAGGGGCACCCTGGGGGGCTCAGTCGTTAGGCGTCTGCCTTCGGCTGAGGTCATGATCCCAGGGTCCTGGGATCGAGCCCTGCATCAGGCTCCCTGCTCCACTGGGAGCCTGCTTCTCTCTCTCCCAGCCCCCCTGCTTGTGTTCCCTCTCTCGCGGTCTCTCTCTCTCTGCCAAAAAATAAATAAAAAAATCTTTAAAAAAAAAACCTCACTTTATATTCCTTATAATTCTAAAAAGTAAGTCACTGAATCCCTGTTGAAAATAAAGTAGGGAATAGCCCCAGAACAGTGGCCTCAGGTAGTGCTGTGCTGCTCACATTAAGGGATGTGACCAGCAGTGCTCACAAGATAAAAGGGTTCGTCTCCTTAGAGCATCGATCTTACTGCTAGAAAGCACTTTTCCATATTACAGTTAGCATTTTAAAGTGGGATGCCAATTCTTCATGACTTTAGTAAATAAACCAGACTTCAAAGGGAATTTCAGCTTCTGGCAGGATGGTGGGGCTATGATCTCACACCCACAGAGTCTATTCATCCTCCCCTGCCCTGGGGGTGCTGCCCTAGAAAAGCTGAAGAAGCTCCAATACGGGAAAGGGGCTATGGAGTCAGACAAGCTATGGTGAAATTCTGGCTCTGCCACTTGCTAGACCCTCCACAAGAGACAGAGCCACTTGCCTTTTAAAAGGTCAGAAACATGGGCGCCTGGGTGGCTCAGTCGTTAAGCGTCTGCCTTCGGCTCAGGTCATGATCCCAGCGTCCTGGGATCGAGTCCCACATCGGGCTCCCTGCT